AACTTTCACCTTTTGCCCATAAAGCTTATGTCACTGTCATAACCTAAGTGAGCGTTTTGTTCTCCAAAGAAGATTTGATGAAACTTACTGCAAAATATTATGCATCATGCCTCTCCATGGCACACTTGGCAAAAGTATTTTCCTCAGTAATATTCAATTTATGTTTTTATTTGTAATCGAATCGCTAATAAATTAGTATCGTTAGATTTGTCAAAAAACCCTTTTTTTTGGAAAATGCTTGTCAAAAAATGGTCGCCATTTGAAAAATAATAGTTAGGCACGAAAATGTAATTTAGCCTACTTGTCTTATTCATATTCAACAAACTAGTCACCAAAACTCCGCGATTATAATTTTCTGATATCACCTGGTGGCCTTAGATTAGTTTACTTCCGATTATGGCACCTACATGCAATTTCAAAAGTGACTTTGAAAAAATTAAGTAGGCGTAAAAACTTTGAAAAATGTCACATTCAGAACTGTCTGAGAAATCCAAAAATTTTACAATATACAGGGTTTCAGTTGATACGTCAAGAAGAGTACTTCGACCTCGCCACTGAAGATGTCTGCCGCAGTTGCAGCTGAAATGTTTGGAGATTGTAACCAAAGAAGACCACGGCAAAACCCGAAAACCAACCAAAACAATATCCAGGGTGTTCCATTTAAAAATTTAGAAGCGGATCCATTTGTGGTGAAACCGGAATTGACCGGAAAGTGAAAAATATGTGACATACACATATTTTTCACATACCTATATCACATACACATACCTATATGGAACGCCGTTTTACTTTTTATTGTCACAAATATTCATTCCTCAATTTATTCAACTAACAATTTATTTGTTTGAATTTGATTGAATAATGCATTTGTTCGACACATTGAAAACGATTGTTCGCAAAATTTGTTCTATTTTAAGTGACACTTGATTTAAAATGTTACATAAATTAATTATTTCATTAGTCTTTATTATTCATGTAACATTTTAAATCAAGTGTCATTTAAAATAGAACAAATTTTGCGAACAATCGTTTTTAATGCATGAATCAATTCAATTCAAACAAATAATTTGTTAGATGAATATATTGAGGAATGAATATTTGTGACAATGAAAAATAAAACGGCGTTCCATATACCTATCCATTTACGTATACCAAATCTCATTTTGATATATGTTATAGTCTAGAAGTTATGACTTGTCTAGTAGTTTCATTGATACCCCGTATATACATCCGTTTGTCTTCGATAGAATACCCACTTTTCATCACACGTGCCATATTCATGTGCTCTGCTTGGTAGCTGAAGTAGAAATTTCATGTTCAGCTACATCAGAGAGAACAAAATCCGGAGTTGTAGAACATAGTATAATAGAAAGTTTCGTCTGCCACTATGACAGACATTTTCAGTGAGATAATCATCAATTGCGAGAAAGAAGGTTGTGTCTTAAAGTTTATGTCGCAGTAGCATACCAAACGTTAGCCGGGATTTTGCTCTGTCTAATCGTGACTCCAGCCGTGAAAGTCTGTGTTTTGATATTCTAAAATTACGTTTACTAAAACAATTTCAGCGAGATTATTCTACTAAGAAGCTCCAAAAAAATTACAGCTAAAATCGATTACAACAATATAATAAGAAAAAAATATCATATTTACAAAAAATTCGAGTAGGCCAAATAACGGCTTCTAGTAGGTCTACAAAATTAGCAGAATAAAGCGTTTTTTCTTTTTGCTGGAAGAACACTCGAGTTCATCCCAAACGGCAAAAAACTCTACGAATCACTATAGACCAGTTACTTCCCAATTAGTGATATCTGAAATCATGGTGAAACTGTAAATACATCCTTAACATCCATATCAAGCGTCAATCACTGGAAGTTTCAACAAGCAAAATGGATTTTTCTTTAACCAGCTCTCATCTTCATTGCCAACATTGCCCCAATTCTTTCTTGAAGGTTCCTAACTAAAAATACTCCAATTGTATGGTTTGCAATATGTAATCTTGTCAAACTGTCTCAGATCTATCTCTCAGAAATATCTATGTTTTATAAGGATGTTTTATAAGGATCAATATTGTCTCAAACTCCGTTTTTATTACCCATTAACAACGTTCATTAAAATACAAAAAATCGCAAAACACTCTTTATTTTTCATAGTAGATATTCGACTTCGAATGTATTTCTTCCTATGCAATGAGAAGTTTTAAATCTATCATATTTTGTAAAAAAAGTTATTCAGGATCAAAATATTGTGAGAGAATATTTATTGTTTCATAGGGTACACAGGGCAGCTTCAAAATTTGACGACTTGCTCACCAACCAATCACATATATGGGAATCCTTTTCTATTTTGAATATTGACGTGTACAAAATTACAAACAGATATCTCATTCGTACCTGCAGCAAGATTGTTATTCAAGTTTTGGCGAGAACATCCAAATTACGAATAGGAATTTCATTCGCAAATATGTATCCTCTGAATTTGATATCAGATTTCCCACGATTGTTTTAGTATTGAAGGTTTATTGGACCGTTTGGATGGCATTCATATGGAAGGAACAAAACTTGTTCATCATTTTAAAATTATGTTCCATTCGATGTCAGTGTTGGTAAACACTCATCTAACAATACACTATCAATTTCTTGGATTGAATACATAACTACTAAGAATATCGCATCTCCGAGAGTCCAGAGTTGGTTTCAGTAAGTATTAGTTAACAAAATTATTTTACCATTTCGCCTTTTTTGAATATTATAGAACAATCCAGAACAATCGAGACTATTCGAAAACATTCCAGAATATCCCGGAACATCTTGGAATTTTTGGGAACAGCTGGTTAACGAAAAACATATTTTAACAAAAACAGATTCTGGATATGGTATGCTTGCCCTCTTTTCCCCATTTAGGAAGAAAGCTTCCGTTTTCACCTGTCCAGAAAATTTCAGAGTATTCGAGAATATTCCACAACATTGTAGAACATACCGTTATATTCTGGAATTTTGTGAAATGTTCACGAAAAATCTGGAACGTATGGGTGGAACTACCCAATGGTAGAGTTATGTATATAAAGCAAAATCCGTGGATCTTTGAAGTTTATTCCAACTACAATCCAATGTAACATTGACTCCGTTAGCGAAGCTGGGGGGTGATATCCACTCAAACAAAAATGTGTTTTCAACTATCAATTTCAGTTCTAAAAAAACATCTATTTAAAAACAATGTTTGTCAGGCCATTGAAATCAATTTTCTCACACGATAGTTTTAATTTTGAGATAAATCGTAATATATTATTCTGGATTATATGATGTAAAGGGAAAATAAAATGTGGATGAAATGCTTAAGGTAACTAACGTATTCAGTTGATAGTATCCGTCTAAATATTTTTACAACTATCAGATTATATGATTGAACATTAAAATGAATGAGTGAGATGTCCTCAAAAGACATATGCAATAGACATATGCCATCGCGGACTTTTGTGTAGATCTATGAAATAGAAACAACATGTAGTGAATTGTTCCGTTATATCTCGAAGAGATTAGTTAGCGCTTTCGATGAAATCTCGCAGAGTAGCATTACTGCACCTCCGCGACTTCTCATGAATAACATCTTTATATTTCAGCCGATTCACACGAAACGTCAATAAATTATATCTACGAACATTCCTCTTGAATCACTTCGCCTAATGGTGAAAAACGTATGAAAATCTAAAAACAAAGTTTATGACAAGACGGGAGACTTAGAGTACACATTGAAACAAGCATTGAGTACATTACAAGATAAGAGTTTACAACTTCCCAATCATCAAGATAATATCCAAAATATATCATTTTTTTCCTCTGAAGAGGATTGACGTTGAAGTAATTTTATTCGCTATTTGTTGTAACAGTCAAAACGTATAATATATATCATCATGCTACATTTTTTTTAAATCAATAATTGCATCATAACCTTTCTTATCGTTGCTCAAATTTTGACATGTATTGGAAATCGTTCTTACCTTTGAAGAAACTGTAAAATTGAATATTTCAATAACATATTCTGAACATTCATCTATTTTATAGTATTCATGTCAATCAAATATGAGGTTTGTATCATTTTAAAGTAACTTCTGAATGTTATACTCTGAATCTCTACTGAATAGATTTCATAGATTCAGAATATTTTCAAAATATATAATTCAGATATCTTCTCCCACATAGCAATAGATATTCCAGGTATATTTCATGAATATACATTTAAGGATATTGTATTATGCTATGAATATGCCATGGATATATATATCTTCTGGAGAATATTCCCTGGAAGTGCTCCTGGCGAACCTTTGATATATTTTAAGAATATTCCTTATTCATTCAAGCATATTCTATGAATATTCTAAAGGCATGTATATATTCCAAGAATATTCTATGAATATTTGGAATATATACGTTCGTTTTATGATATACAGGGAATATTCCATGAATATCTAGTGCTGTGTGGGCTAAAATAGTTTTGAATATCGAATTGGAAATCATCATGATTTTTGAAAGGTTTATAGGTCCCGGGCTCATTTCGTACGTCCTACGAATCGCCAGTTACGTTTGACAGCATTCTATTTTAATTTTTTCAAGAAAATTCAAGTTTCATCATTTTTGTTTTTCCTTTTTTTTTAACAACAATCACAATTCAACAGCATCACCCACATCTCATTAAATGTAAAGAAAACTTCAGATCAAGCTTACTTTCGAACTTTGAACTTTACTATTCATGTCCACCTTCCTTCATTACACATGAAGTCTCAGCCAAGCCGCCCCTGCCAAGAGTATCACCTTAAAATGCGCCACCTAACCTTGCCGTATCCTGTCGGAATCCTCATACTTCCTCTTTTGACCTCCCTCCTTCTAACCACCCCCACTCACCCATTAACATTTGGATGCAAGCCATCTTAACCATAAATCCACTAGACAAGAGTAGTATGCAGTGTTGTCGCTTCTTAGCTACTAGTTAACTCATGTTGTCCACAGATAATCCCTCGTACTTCAATGTGCCCGACGAACGGAAAAGAATGGGTGATAGCTGTAGTAGTGCTTCAGAGTGTTCTTTAACGAGGCAGCTAACTCCTCCAAGAGGAAAGAGCTTCTGTCGGGACAAGAGAAATTTTCTCAGATCAATGAGCTCCAACTCCGCAGACTCTAATCAGGAACTGCTGATCATGGGTGAACCAAGACTGAGTGACATCGCACCTGATATCGTTTTCAAAAATCCTTCCAGCCGATCAAACTCTCTGAAGCAGAATAAAGTGAATTCAAATGGAGATGTTGGATACATTCCGCTTGCTACTAGTGAAGAGCAAGCAGATGCCTCCGAAGATGAAGAAGTGTTCATTAGTGAGGATTCGGCAAGGTCAGTATATTTTTTCAAAACTACTGTATTATGAATGATCGTCATTGTTTCAACTCTCAGTATTCACCTTTTGAATTTCAATATTATTATTCTTGTTGTCATTAAAATCCTTGTAATTTGAATTACACTTTAATTGAAGAAATATGAAATATTATAATTTCCTGAATCAGTGAATCCACATAGTATCAGAATTTTTTAAAATGCATCCGAAAAATTTTATTACTAATATTCATTTCAATATATTCAAGAATTAGTTGTTTTTGTAGAACGCTGCTGAAAGTCAATATTTTAGTTCAATGAGGGCAATGGATCGATAGTCCTATTTTATTGTTTTTTTTAACATTAATGAATATATGAGTCTTAGACATCGTCTGATGATGCTAATTTGGTTAGCGAAACGCGATTTTCATTAGATTCATTTCACGCTAGAGGTTCCCAATTCCACTTATCAAGTATTACTTGATATGATGTAGAGACCTATCCGAGTAAGGACATATTTTGATTTTTCAATAAGGTCACATGTAGGGTAAATTTCAGAATTCGGTAAAATGACATAATCAGGAGGCAGACTGGTTTATTTTTCTTGAATACTCATTTGGAATTTATAATATTGCTAAACATATCACGTCCCATCTTGAGAATCCAGTCAGTTAAACAATTTTTCTATTGACTATATTCTCCAATATTCTGAATCTCATGAGATATATTCTATGTGTCAGGTAATTGGCTTTCGCTGTTCGATCGTTTTCTCACATCGGGGTAGAAATATAGCAACATTTGTTCGTGTATTGTGAACATTTTCATGAACTTGTAATTAAATTTATCCATTTTTAATGAATGATATTTCCATACACATTAGTTGTCTGATACCCATAATTTGGGCTTCTTCATATAAGAGATCTCTACAATAATCACGTGTCTTGCATCTTACACTGAATGTTCCATATCTCAATTTTCAAATATTATTATCCACATTATAAACTTATAAACTTTCATAACATAACGCTTTTAATACTAGCTACATGTCTTTTGAACCCATTTATTATTTTCATTATTTGGGGTATTTCTTTATAATATTTGACTTAACATTAATGGTTTTCACCCCCATACCTCTTAATTGTTGTTCTATTATCACCATTGTCCACTAACAGGGTACTTGAAGAAAATTGGAAAGATAGTTTTAGGAATTTTGTAATTCATTTAGCTGATTATTTATGAGTCATCTTTACTGGATGAAAGCATTTATACTTTTTATAGAAGCGCAACCAAAGATCACATTTTATCGACAATAAAATAGTTCTCTCTCTCTCTCTCTCTCTAGATTTCTTGGCCTTTGCTTCTGTTCGGCATATAAAATTAGTTGTTTTCGTGCTATTTAACTAGTTTTTTCTACGGTGATGATCATATTTTGAATACACAGAATTAGATATGAAGATTTTTCTACTCGAGTGACATAAAAAAAAAGAACATGCTGATTTTTTTTTCGAAATTTGAACTTCGTGACCTTCTAATTCACTTTTTACGACTTGAAGTCAACGTTTTTCATTTAGTATTTTTCACTTTCGTGAAACGAAACTATTGGGATGTTAAGAATTATTTTTATGTTTACTGTATGTAAAACTATCTCTTTAATATTTAAAACTAAGCCTTATTCCCTTTAGTGGTTCAGAACTCTCATAAATGTCTTCAATATGTCCGGCAGTGGAAAATAATCACTCATAATGGCTATCCCAAAATTCCTTAACTATATCCAGATGTTGATGGTCACTGATTTGTAGTGAATCAAGTTAATTGTTGAAGCTCAGGTTATTTTTTCTATGGCTGTAAATCTGAAATCGATACTTATTTTGAGAGTTCAGACCAGTGAACAGCATTTGAATTTGTTTTATGTGGATCAAATTTGAATTTCCACTACTTTTGAATTATTGGAAGGCTAACAATATTAGCATTCTGGAGTGACTACTATAATTTCAATATTGATAACCATACCTTAAATGATATTTTCCTTGCTTGTCTTTTCTTCTTCGAAATGTCTGACATTGCCTTCTCTTCAAAATAAACTGAATTTTCATTCAATTTCTGTTCTATGACATATTTTATTTCTTTATAATGATGTATATTTTCAATTTTGATCTGAGTTCCAAAAAATATTCAGGAATAGTTGATTAGATACCGATGAAAAATTGTCAGTAGTTTTAAGGCCGTATGTTGAGTAGTGGCAACCTTGTTCACTTTCCCAAATCGGGTTCATTTTTGATAGTATCCCAACCACAGTGCTTCGTGTGCCATATCAGTATCATTTTGTCAATATATTTGATATATTATTCCTGGATTTTACACCAACATATCCACAACTGACTTGAATATGATTATCCCATTGAAGCAATTGCCGCCAAGCGGATAAATCAAAGGTAGAGGTTCTCAGAAAGAATATTATCGGGTTGTTAATGTAAATCTTGAATGCATGTTTATGTGATGATGGGAATATTAACGATGGGTATTGTGGGTACCAGTGTGAACAATTGTGTTCTGGTTTCCATTTGTTGGACGTGTTAATTCATAACAATGATTGAATGCCATTTCATCTTTTGATTTCGTTGATCATTTTTTCTATTCAACATTAATAATGATTCATATATAAATACTTTATCTTCCAGTTACGAAAACGTTTTCTCAATTTCTTCTTTTCTTTTTTCTACAAATGTATTTATTTGATTATTTTATGAAAACCGTTATTCAATAATTTCGAAAATTTGTTGTCCTTTTGTTGCTCTAGCAATAAACAGTTCATCATAATTTCCCTGTGATTTTTTGTCTATCTGTCCCATTCGTATTTCATTCCAATATTTATATATTTTTTCAAACCCCTACCGCTTCTTCATCTAAATTTTTGGTTTGTTTTTTTTTAATATCGTAGTTTCACATTTCTTCGAGAAGAAAAACTATAAATATTCACATAATATTTCAAACAACTTCAGTTAGTACCAATCATTATTTTTTATTCAAGGTATTACAATTTCCCTGCTGTCAAACGAAATGGTCAAAGAAGACATTCAATCAGCACATTCGTCGGCAGAGAAAGAACGAATAGTGTGGCGTCGTCATCGAAGAGTTTCAAAGAAGATTTTCCACAGAGGGAGAACGAAGAAAATATCGATATTGACGAGCACTCTTTGCGCCATGCTTCTTACCCTAGGAAGCGCTGTCTACGATGCACAAGAGGTGAGTGGAAATTGAATCTATTACTGATTACTACACGGAGAAAAGTATTCGTTGCTAAAAAATAACTATTTGGGTAAATCGAATAATAGTTTTCCCTAAACTGGGGGACAGATAAATATCCTTTTTACTGCAAATAAAGGCGTTTCTTTAAGAAATAAATAATTGATGGTTCATCCTATGGAGTAATCCAATAAGACTAAAACACATAGTTGGTTGTTATCAATTGAATGAAACATATCATCTGTCACTCTTAGCATCGCGGTTGTGCAACTATGTCCTTGCCGAAAACTTGATTGATGTTCCGGAAGAATGTTGAAATCAGTGAGATGTAGCTTCAACAAGATGGCCGTTATCAATTGTCGAAGTTCGGAAGTTTCTTTTGGAAGGCCCTTTATATCTCATTCATAATATGTAGTAAACAATTTACATTTCATTTTCCACATATCATTGTTCATCAGTACTTTTCCATTTAGGATAAAATATGGTTTTTGGATTATATTTGTTGCAAGAATATTTATTACATTTCGGTTGATTTGAAAAAGTGCTTGTTTTTGGATTTATCAGATAGGTAGATAGATGTATAGATATAGGCATAAGAACAAAGGCTTTCACGGCCGGAGTCACAATTAACTTGAATAAAATCCGGGCTAGTTGGCCGTGGTCGAATGGAACCTAAAGTACCAAACGGCTCGTTTGCTACTGTAGTCGACACATCATCAGTGGTATCAACTATTAATAAAGAATCCCATATGATACGGATTTTACTGCCACACTTAAGTTAAATTTGATTTTTTTCAATTACATCGTTCAATAATTCTTGGATCTTCCGACGAATTTCACCAATAAATAGTGCGTGAAAACATAGCTGATTGAGATGTCTTACCAACGAAGATATATTTTTTTATTGAGAACACATTTCCGTCACCAAAACTGAAATACTGTTTATAGACACGCGTTTGGTGAGCATCATCGACGCGCGTCGTGAGAGTATTTTTGTTCTGGCATGGGAAAACTGTTTCCAATAGACTCATTTTACAGTGGTTCCAAATTGTACTTGTTAGGAATCAGACGTTGAAAGGTAAGACCTCGTTAGTCCTTAGCTCACACAAGTTTCGACTTCTGAGGGTTGTCGTTCGTAGGGGTGCAATAGCTGGTTAACGGAAAAACATATTTTTAACAACATATTTAAACAACAAAAAACTAAATAAAATATTCAATCGCAATGAAAGTGAAAGGGTTATCTTTCGTACACAGTAGTATACTTCTTTTCATATACCGTCACCTGAACTGTTTGGATAACCATTATCACTGCACTACGAATTTCATCAAGATCAAGAAAAGTTATAATATTAAACCCAATGAAGAAATAAATTCATCGCCTAAATGGAACATATACATTATTTTATAATAAGTTCACAAACTTCATATTATCCATATTATATTAAACATATTTTTGAATACTAAACAGGATTTGTTCGTGAACATGGATTGAAAATAGTAGCTAAAATAAAAAGATCTGAACTAATATATTTCAATCTTCACATAATCAGTTCTTGTTGTCAGTGATAGACTGACACGAAATTTCACTTATGGACTAGCTATTACTTTTTTCACAAATAATATCCATCGATCGTTGTTTATTTGAGAATCGGTGTTACAAAATAAATATAATCAGTTGTAGATCCTAGTTCAAAGACGTGTTTCATAACAACCATTAATAAATTCAGTTGAATGCGCACATTGAGCGATGTACCTATTTAGAGAGACCAAGTCGATTGAAGTGAACCAAATTATCTAATTCATCTCCCTAGCATCTTCATCTTCTCGGAGACGATTTGGTGTGCTAGCATAATTCAATTTAATGAGCTTTGATTTGTAAATGAAGTCGATAAAGAGAAATGGGGCACAAAATGACATAAGTTCACTTGTCTATATCAGTTCAGACGTATATAATCAAACAGATAAATATTATACAGAATAGTGCAAATGGAAGCAATTTTTCGGATTGCCAACATTTTCATAAATTCACATTTATATTTTGCTAGAATCAATAGGTCTCTTATATCAAGCAATGTATATTACGAGGTCCTCAGCCCAGACCAAAACTGTTCCATTCAACGAGTTAAGCTTCTAGGTCCTCTGTTGAAAAGGATAACATTGGAAATTTGTTTTTGATAATTCTGTGTTCGTCTATCATTTGATTTATTGATGCACGAAAACTTTCCAACACAACAACATATCTGTTGGGGTTGTTGACCCTGATCTGCAGTTGTCTGTGACTGACGTTTCATCTACGACTGCGGTACGTTGCAATTAGGCAACTAACAACATGTTCTAGTTATCCACACTACAGATACATTACCTTCCGCCACTGAAATGAAATCGGAGACACAAACCATCAATGCAGTATAGTAGCTGCAGTAAGGAAAATTAGCACACTTTTGTTGTCTCAACTCTTTTGATCATGTTTATCGCTAAGCTACCTTTCCAGCGTTGGATGAGTAACCGCCGAGGGCTCTTGCGAGACACCTCTCCCACACATCTAGCTTGAAATCGGCCAACGCCTGTTACCCGCAGATGCGGGATAGGGTGGTTGACCGATAACTTTACTGGGTGAGTGCCGTGTGGTCTGCACCGGGGGGACTGTCAAACACCCATAAGAGAGAGACAGTGATCCCCCGCCACCCACCCCGTTATGTTAAGTATGTTAAGTATGTTAAGTATTCACATTTTGTTCACATCAGAGAGTACTACAAAAAAGTGTATATACTGATATAAAAAGTTACCTTTCTAATAACAAAATTTGAAAGTGAAAATATCAAAAATTACCTAGAGAATATTTTCGTGTGTAACATAAAAATGTTTCGTGCATTTTTGCATAACTTCAATAGCCCAGGAATTATTTGCAGAAAATCAATAAATGGATTTGATATGGTACCTCAAAATCTCAAATTAGAAACGTGGTCATACAAACTATTGGTATCAAATTATATCTAGTTATCACAACTACTATCCGGTCTATTGAGTATTCACATATTTGGCAACCACTGACAGCTTTGAAGAATTTTCAACGATGACGATGACTCCTCGGGAGTTGACCTCCTAGGTCATCGTCCATCCTGTCATTTTCAGGAAGGTGGACATGTCACTAGGAGACATCTCCTTCATATCGGCAGGTGTAGGCCAATACTCGCCGAACACACACTCTCTTATTGAGGATAATTCCGGACACTCACATAAGACATGCCTGACAGTTTCATCTTCCTGTTCACACATTCCGCATAGAGGTGTGCCCACTAGCCCCATGATATGGATGTGTTTCCTTAGTTGACAGTGGCCAGTCTGAAATCCCACTGTTGAGCGAAGGTTTTTCCTGGTTATCGCCAGATATTTCTTCGGCGCCAGCTTCCCAGGGTCGCCCGGGGTGATCCTGGCAAGACTGCGTAACACGTTGTCTGTTGAAGGCTAATAGGGATTGTCTACTATCAGTGCAGATTGTTATGTTTTTGGCAGAAATTCCTTTCCTGGTTATTTCTTTTGTGGCGATCGAGATACCAGCCAGTTCTGTTTGAACCACGCTGGTATTTTTCCCATTCCCACTTAATCCTTAGGCTTAGTGATCTGGAGTAAGCTGCACATCCTGAGCCTTCTGGTTTTTGAGCCGTCTGTTATATGCGTTATGCATTTGTAGCATCTGACTCTGCGTTCTGTTTTATTTGTATTTTGTAGGGTTTATTGAACACAAACAGGTCCAGAGGGGTCAGACCAGTAATTAATTCAATTGCCGCGGTTGGTGTTGTTTTCATGGTGATGTTGGTCCTGTGATGTTTAAACAAGCCAATCGCTTAAATTTGAATGAGTTGAATTTTTTGACAGTCAACTTTTATCCACTACTTGACAACTACCAAATAACGTAAACACAAGTAATCCAATGGCACTATTGCATTTCGACTGTCTAACGACAATTTCCAAATGAAACAAACGATGCAATTCTTGCTTCCATTTTTCGTTGATTGAACAAACTTGAGTAAGGTTTCGGGGATATTGTACAGAAACCACTCTTCCAAACAAGAAATATATACATTATATTATTTTCGCAGCATGCAGAACCACCGTGTTTTTTACTCATTAAACTTCTTTGTCTTGTAAAGCTTTGTTATTTTTTTTTTACTGTGATATTTTTCTCCGCCATCGTAATTGAAGACTGCGTTAAACTAATCGAGTCATCAGTCAGTGAACAATCTATGACCCCAAAGAAATGAAATTACCGTGAAACATTAAGCTTATCGGAATGAGGCTTTTGAACTAAGAATATTGATACCAGTTTTAGATGATATTCACGTCGTAATAACACAGGGTAATACGTTTCCAAACAGTTCCTGTAGTTCGAAAATCATTATTGGAGTGTCATTCGATTTATAATTTCATCCAGAGTAATATACGATTTGAGCCAAACACTTTTCCCAAACACCAGACGAAACAGAGATGTATATTTTTTGAAACGGCTGGTTGGGCTCACGCACGTGTCGCCCAATTCGAACAACAAGAAAAACAAGAAAACAAGAAAAACTGTTTTAACCCTTTGAATGAGGATTTTAGGTACTTGCAAGTTGAATTAACAGTGGATTCCTGGTTAAAAAAATTATTGTAGTTTTCCTGCTAATTGCGCATTTGTTAACTTACACTTTTCTCTAAGTTGAAGGTTTACATATACCATAGGCTATATAAAATTAATTTCACAATTTATCTCAGCTACTAGTTTTAAATTAATTTTGCAATGTGTCCTTATGTAATAGGTGAATCTAATAATTAAAATATTGTAAGTTATGTATTCTAACAGCTATATAGTATACCATTAGGTATTGCTCCATCATCATTATTCATAATATTAGTATGTTTACTTATTTTTACACTCTCATAATCATCTAGATGCCTGTTAACTGTTAACTTATCTAACTAACTAATAAACTAACTAACTAATAAACTGAAGTCTATGGAAT